CGTTAGACAAAGTGCAAGGTGTGTCATTCGAGAAGTATTTCATTTGTGGAATATGGCAAGAATTCCAACAACTATTGAACGTAATGCAATTGAAAAACTTGAAAATATTTTTTACAAATGGGCTAAAATAAAGAAAAACATGAAACGAGCTTCGGCAACACAAACAGCAAATGAAAATGTTTTTTGTGAAGAAATTGATCGCATTTTTGATATAGCACATGCTGATGCCATGAGTTTGATTACAATTGAAGAAGACAGACTATTTCTAATAGATCAGCGAGGTGAACGTAAGGGATACATGGCCGGAGTTGACATGGCATTGGCAAAAACAGAAGAACGTGTCCAGAAAAGAAAAGAATTAGAAGAGTCCAGACGTTTTCAGGAAAAAAAGCGAAAAAAAGAAGCTGGAAATACAAGTCACATTGATTCAATGCACCTATCTGACAAGTCTACATCTGGCACTGAAACCTCAGATGAAGAATTTATGAAACCAAAGAAATCTAATCAAAATGTTGTAAAAAAGCGATCGCGATCTCAAAATATCATTTCACCTGAGTTAGCATCTGCTCTTGACCGAACCAACGTCACAGATCGCCAAGCGACTTATTTACTGGCAGCTGCAGCAAAAGGTTTAGGTCATGACATTACAGATTTTGCTATTAGTCGCGATACGATCCGGAGAGCTAGAATTACTAATCGAAACAAAATTGCTACAACCATAAAGTTTGCATTCAACTCGTCAAATGTTCCATTGACTGTTCATTTTGATGGCAAAATATTGCCAAATATTACTGGAAGAGATTCAGTTGATCGATTAGCAGTTGTTGTTACAGGTTACAACGTTGACCAGCTTCTTGGCATTCCAAAGTCAACAAGGGGTACTGGTAAAGCAATAAGTGAAGCTGTTATAACAACTTTACTAGATTGGGACATTCAAGACCGAGTTAAAGCAATTAGTTTTGATACAACGGCTGCCAACACTGGTACCGAAGCTGGAGCGTGTACTTTAATTGAAAAAAAGCTTAATAGAGAACTATTACACTTGGCATGCCGTCATCATATGTATGAAATCGTCTTGAGTGATGTTTTTAAGCATTCTCTTGGGCAATCCAGTGGTCCTGAAATAGGATTATTTAAACATTTTCGTGACAAGTGGTCATTAATTGACAAAAATAATTATGAAACAGCGTTAAATGATCAAACATGTTCGGACATTTTGGCTTCTCACACCATACTCAAACAGGATGCACTATTTTATTTGAAAACAATTCTTGAATCTGGTAAACAATATCGAGACGACTACAAGGAATTGTTGGAACTAACCTTGTTGTTTCTTGGTGATGTTCCTCCTCGTGGGGCTCATGTAATGGCTCCCGGAGCCATACACAGAGGAAGGTGGATGGCCAAAATTTTATATTCAATGAAAATATGGATGTTCAATAGGCAGTTCAAATTAACGGCAAAAGAAGAAAAATCACTTCAAGGTATTAGCTTGTTTGCTAGTTTGGTGTACACCAAATTTTGGATATCATGTACCAATCCAACACTTGCTCCGTCGAATGATCTCACTTTCTTGAAGACTGTTTTTCAACATAAAGCCATTAACAATGGAATTTTTACAGCTGCAGCAACAGCATTTTCGAGGCATTTATGGTATCTAAGTGAAGAAATGGTAGCATTGGCTTTTTTTGATAAAGAGATCAGCAAGGAAACAAAGGCAAAAATGGTTTTGGCTCTACAAAATGCTGGAGAGGATGAACCACAGAAAAGAATAAAAATCGATTTAACTTCAATTGAAAATCTGCAAATAGAAAGTTTTGTAACAGAGAATACCTTAAATTTTTTCAACATTTTGGAATTACCAACTACTTTTTTGACAACTGTTGATCCTGACAAGTGGACCGAAAATGAAGAGTTTCAACAGGCAGAAAAAATTGTAAAAAGTCTACGAGTTGTTAATGATACGGCTAAAAGAGGAGTAAAACTAATTCAGGATTTTATTTGTTCAATTACCAAAAATGAAGAACAAAAGCAATTCTTGTTGCAGGTAGTCTCTGAACACAGGTCAAAGTTTCCTCTGCCACAGAAATCTTTGTTGATCGATGGAACCAAGTCATCAAAAAACGATGGAAACAAAAACCATTGAATTTTTTTTCATAGATTACAATAATTTTTTGCAAAGAAGCTGAAATATAAATGAAACCTAAAACTCTAACAATTTTTAAGATTTTTTGGAACTATTATTGTTTTTTAAATTTGTCTTTACTATAGTGAACACAAATACGTTATTATAAACCAGAAGTTTATTACTTTATTCTTCAATTATTTTATTTGTAAACAATAATATATATAATTCAGTTTAAAAAATACTGCATGGTTTTGGATTAATATACAGTAAGAATTAAAATGCAATCTTGTATCATAATTTATTCAAAATTTGGGATTGCACACTAAAGGAGAACTCAAACCCAAAAAGTAAAAAACTTGATGTTGATGAGCAACCTTTAAAAATTATTCAATCATGCCCAAACTTCACGATTGTTATTCCTACACATAATGTCACATAAAGAAATGGTACCATCAAAGAAATTTAAAAAAAAATTTTTTTGCACCACCCTAATATATATATATATATATATATATAATATATATATATATATATATATATATATATATATATATATATATATATATATATATATATATATATATATATATATACATACATATATACATATATATACATATATATATATATATATATATATATATATATATATATATATATATATATATATATATATATATATATATATATATATATATATATATATATATATATATATATATATATATATATAGTTGCATTGGAATATTTACTTTTAATAAATGTTAAAAAAATAAGTAATGTTAAGCTCATGTTAGAAAATGTTGCAAATATAAAAAATAGTCTATAATAAACAGAACAGATAAAGTTAACTGAAACTTCAAAAATTATTTTAAACGTTTTGAATTTTGAAGTTGTAGTTGGTAAATTGAAAATATTGGACAATGCCCTATTAAAGCAATTACAAAAAAATGATTACTTTCTTTATGTTTTAAATTTAATTTACATAAATTATCATAATTGAGTACCTTATCAAGAACTAGAACAACCAAGTTCCGCATTTTAAAATCTTCTGATGATAATCTGAAAGTATATTTAAATGAAAATGAAAAATGAAAACATAACTAAACAAAAAGATTTGATCAGCAAACAGCACAAACATAATACACTAAACAGCAAGTATATACACTAAACAGCAAGTATATACACTAAACAGCAAGTATATACACTAAACAGCAAGTATATACACTAAACAGCAAGTATATACACTAAACAGCAAGTATATACACTAAACAGCAAGTATATACAATAGATCACAAATTATGAGTGATATAAAAATCAGATTATATCAAAATATATCACATTACACAGAACAACTATATTATCATATTATAAACATTAAAAAAAAAAAAAATAGAAATAAAAAACTTATAGGTCCTAAGAGATTTGATCTTTTACTTTTCAAGGCCATAAAAAATATTAATAGTGGAAGCTAAATGCAACAAACTTTAATTAAATTTCTAAACACTGACATTTCATCCAACCCATTGCAAAGTTATTATTATTTATTGTTTTATCTCTGCCAATTTCATACTCTTGAATCTCTTATTTTTCTTTGTATATACTTTGTATTTAGTAAATAGTTTGTATATACTTTGTACATAGTTTGTATATACTTTTTATATAGTTTGTATATACTTTGTATTTACCTTGTATATAATTTGGCTTGTATATATTTTGTATATACTACAGGATACGCCTGTGGTTTACAGAACTGAGTTATCCAACGCGCCATGTTTTTTGATTTTTTTAATGTTATTTTCAGTTTATTAAATGTTAGTCTAGTAAAGTTGTGAGTTTTTTTTAAATATTTAGAATATTTGAAATCTTAAATTTTTGTTATTTTATTGTAATAATTTAAATTCAATAAAGTTTTTTCAGATTCATTATTTTGTTCATCTTCACTACTTTTATCACTTAATGTACTTATATTTCATTTCTTTATATATTTGAAATTGTTGGCACTACCAACATGTGACATTGTGGACAGAGCATTGTCTATGCCAAAAGATGCTTGAAAAAAGTACATACATATAAAATAAAACATTAAACTTTATTAATATGACATTCCTTTAATTGAGTATTTTACATTGGTTTTGAATGAGCTTTTTTAATTTTGTATTATCAATACAAGCTTTTACAGATACATTTAAAACTCTAAATTTAAACATTAATCAGGATTTAATAATAATAACCAAATTTTTAAGTTTCACTACATAATGTTTTAGTTTAATAACTTCAAACCAACCCAAAACAATTGAGAATTCTTTTTGGGTTGAATAAATTTTCTTAGTAACTATTTTTAAACTTTTAATGACATTTAAAATAATAAACATAAAAAAACTTTAACGAATTAATGAAATATGTTGTCACATTTTGACAAAATATAACAACTGTAATTTCAACTTAAGGTTTGCATTGATTTTTACATAAATATCATCCAAATGTGTTTACGCAAGTGATGCTTTGTGAGCAGTGTTTTAATTGATAAAAAATTTACCCCATATTTAATTTTACCCCATATAAAAATACAGAGTATATAAAAAATTGTATTTTCACCACATCAACTTAGAAATAAAACTGTCAACACTTAAGTGTTAAGAACAAATCAAGAAGTAAGTTATTTAACTTATCTTTCTCTTGTGAAATTAGATTTTGTATAATAATGTTTTCAAGAAGAAAAAAAGAAGATAAAAACCTATTTTTGTCATCCTTTCTTTTTTTCTCAATTATTGTTGTCATTATCTAAATATAACACAAACAAATTCAAACATTTTTCAAGACTTGGTAAGTAAAAATGACCTTTTACTTTTTAAATGTATAAAAATAATAGAAATAAAAATAAATAGAAACTAACAAAATATATATTCTTTTTATAATTTTCCAGGTTAAAGCTACTGGTGATATTAAAATCAGCACAAAGCAAAAAATTAAGTAATCAAAATAAAAATATTTTTTTTCAAAAAGCTATACAAGTATTAAGATTGTGTTTTAAATATTAAACAATATTTAAAAAACAATATAAAACTATGCTAATTCAAATCAATGCAAGATCGTTGATTATTTACGTGAAAATTATTATTAGTATTTCAATACCTCCATGCCATGATCAGAATTTTCCTGTAACAAGTAGACTAACGCTTCTTTAATTTTTGCTTTGGAGCAAGTTGTATAACCATCAACTAAAATCTGAAGCAAAAATTTTGATACTTTCACGACTCAAAGTTTACATACCAAACATACATATATACCGAGACATACATATATACCAAAACATACATATATACCAAAACATACATATAATATTTTCAACAAATATTTTTGTTAAAAAAGAATTCAAACAATTGTCAATTAAACAAGAAAACTAATTTATATTTTCCATCAAATAATACTTATATCAAATAATGTTTATATCAATAATAATTATATACTAGATGCATTTCCCTGAAAATATTTAAATAACAATTAATAAAATTTAAATTAATAATTTATTTAGGTTAAAATTAAGAAAAATACATTTTTTACTTATTTGATTTTGTTTTGCATGTCAGCAAAAGTAAGCTAATAAATATAATGAAGGGAAATAAAAATGTAAAACTATTCATTACATACATTGAAATAATTATGTCCAGTGTTTTTGATAAGGGAACCAAAAACTAATCAAGATTTGCTAAATCTTATTGTCCCATTACTGATAACAAAAAAGAAAAATTAAATACCAAAGTGATATGTTTTCTGTATATATTTAAAATACAATTAAGGATTTGAAATTAAAACCACTCATCATCAGGAGGTGCAAATTGTAAAATTTGCAAAACAACTACTGAAATTACTAAATGGAGAGTGAATGGATAGGTATTAAGAGTGAATGGATAGATTAAGAGTGTTTGTAAAAAATATATTTATAACTATAAAGAATTTGTTTCTCTATGTACAAAAAAAAAAAAAAAAAAAAACACATTTTTCAAGCAGGGTAATATTTTGTATAGTTTCTTGTCAATGTAAAGTTAAAATCAACAAATTTCAAGAGTTGTGTTATGATCGTACTCTTAACAATATTGCAAATATGCCATGGGCACAAAGCAACCACACTCTATATGAAGTCCTTCACCACTCAGCTAAATAATTTATTTTTAATGATGGTTGCGGCATTGGCAATTTACATGAGGAAGATGAGTTTTTTAAAACTTCTTAATCATTAGTTACATTTCTATTTTCATTTTTGTTTTTTTCATATTTTTATTTTCATAACTCTGCCATTTGTACTCATTGTGATACTTTGAGCTGCCAATTGTGATACTTTAAGCTGCTATGTATTGAAGAAGCATGTAAGCCTTTTGCTGATAAAAAAATCATGACTTACTGGCATTATTTAAGAAGTATTAGGTAACCATTGATTTAAACAATTAACACATAACTTATTACATATAATTATTTACATTATTTTTATGACCTAATAAAATTAATTAAATAATTTTAAGGAAATATTTATAAAATATTACACAAGTAACACATCTCATTGTATAAATAATCATTAAATTTGGTGTAAACGCACAAAAAAAGTTATAGCTATAAACATGTTTATAAAAAATGTTTCTTTAAAAAAAACAAAAACCTATTGTTGTTACTAATCTAGATAGACTGTTAAAAACAAACAAAAAGCACAATGATAAGCTGCTAGGTATAGTTTTTATATAAATCTTGTAAAGGATACAATCAAGTACCTGCATGCTTTAATATTATGCATAGGTTTGGTATTGAAAGTTTGAATTGAAAGTTGGAATTTGTGCTGACATAGCAACTTGTAATACTTAATGTAACAAGGGTTGCTACAGTATTTGAGAAATACTTTTAGAGCAGCCTCTATTAAAACTTCTTTATAAAAAATTTACTCAAGAAAAATATATTAAATGCTTTGAATATTATCACTTAAACCAAAAACAAAGGTCCGCCAAAAAGTATTTATACAGGATTCAAAACTGTTTATATTTTATGTACTTATTGATAAAAAAAAAAAGTTAGCTTACCTTTAAAAGATCTCGATCAACTTCCACCCCAATATCTTTTTTGAAATTTATCATTATACTATCTGTCAACAAATCGATTTCTTCATTGAGTTTGCTATCTTGAAAATTACCTAATATCATTCCTTTCCATCCACCTAACCAATCTTCTTCTATTCGTTTCACAAGATTCTAAATAATTGATAACATTATACAATGAACAAAAAAAAAATAGAGTTCAAACTCCTAAATAAAAATTGTTGCTAAATAAAACTTAATATTAATGAATCTAAATATTATTATCATAGGTGATTCTACTAATAAAATGAAGGGGGAGGGGGTGATTTCTTAAAAAGTATCAACTGGCTTCTTTGAACAAAAAAATTCCTCTATTCCTATTCCAAAATTTACCCAATTGAATGGTGTCAAATACCTGACTAAATTTGTTAAAAAACCAACTATAACTTAAAAATCACCTACTTTGGGGGTAAGGGGAGGGGGATTGGACTCTCCTCCTCCCCCAAAGTAGGTGATACCCTCACACACCCCTTTAAAATCGCCTCTTATTATTATAAATTATAAGAACATAAAATATTATACAATATAAGAACATATTTAGAATATATATAACAAGTTTGGAAAGCACGTGTGGTTGCACTCCTTGTTCATCCATGTTTAACGTATTGTTTTTTTAACTTTTAAAGCATTTCAATAATTTGCGGCAAAAAGCTAAACTTATCTACTGATAAAAAAAAAAAAAAAACCAATACTCAAAAAAGAAAAAAAATTGCATTTCAATAATTTGCGGCAAAAAGCTAAACTTATCTACTGATTAAATAAAAAACAATACTCAAAAAAGGAAAAAAAATTGCAATGCAATATCAAATTTAAATACAATAGACTAGATAAATTTGTTGTTTCTTTTACATTGCCAAATTTTCAACTTTTACTAATTTTCATTGTTTCCTTAACATTTTCAGTGTTAAGATAAATTATTAGAGATAATGAATCTAAAGATTGCTCTGTTTGAAAAAATGTATTTAAAAACTAAAAAAAATGTCTTAAGCTCCTAAAAGATTCGTTAAAAAAGTTCAGCAATATAACAATGCAGATTTTGGAATGTCGATAACAAAAGTTCATCAGGAAATAAACTATTGGGTTTAAATGCACAACTTGAAAAATTTTTATTATTTTACATAAAAGACTTGTTAAAAAATATTTTTTTTTTTTTAAAGATAAATAGCAATTACTTTTCTTGCTTTCCTGGGCATTGATAAAAAAAAGTAAAGTTTAGCAAAAACATTTGAAAAATAAATTTTAAAATTGTCCTTATTTATATAAAGTATTTCCTTAATATACTGACTGACCAAAGTCGCAAATAAATTGTATGTCAAAAAATGTTTTTGTTTTCGTTATATTCTTTTCTGCTTTCTTTCTCGACTTGGCAGTTAAGATTAACAAATGTCCTTAAAAAAGAAAAGTAAAACAGTAAAATATTAAAAAAAAAAAAAAAAAAAAGAAAAACAGTAAAATATTGAGGCATACTTTTTTTTTGACAAAATTTTTCTTTTTCAAATTTTTTTTAGTTATTTTGTTTAGATATTTCGTATAGTATTCATTTCCTTTCATCAAATATTGCTGTTTTATTCTTTGTAGTTTCTTATATGTTTATTTTGTCGTAAATTCTTAAAACGCTTATAAAAATGTGATCAAGTTGTCTAAAAAAATTACTTTAAAAGTGGACAAACAAGGTGTTCGACCACACGCACTATCAGGAAGCCTTTTAATATATATATATATATATATATATATATATATATATATATATATATATATATATATATATATATATATATATACTCAATATGTTCAAGAATTTTCTTTAAAAAAGTTGCATATAAATTTAGATCTAAAGGCTGGGTTATGCAATGACACTTGAATGAAAGTTTGTGGTCTTTAAATTAATTATATTGATTACAGTGGTTTTGACAATTATTTCTGGTCTTAAAGAGCTATTTTTATTATTTTCCTTGAATTTAGTTGGCTCTATTGAATTCTAATTTACCTTTTATTCTAAAATTATCTTTCGGTTTAGTACTTTTATAACAATCAAAGTCTTAAATGTTTAATAGAGTTAGTGTAATCTAAAACATTGCTTCTCAAATGGTCAACTTTATGTTGCATATTCAGAAAATTAATTTGTTTATTTTTAACATTCGATAATTATTTTGCATATTAAGTATAATACATGGAAAATGTTAAAAATAATATCAGATTTTTAACCTTCAGAATAAAGAAAAATGAGGTCAGCAATAATTTTAGAGTTTCAGCAATAATTTCAGTCTTTTAAAGGTCGGCAGCAGGTCGGCAAAAAAAATTTAATACAAAGGTCTTACCATAAAACATAGAAACAAGGTCGGCAATTTTTTGCTGACCTCAAAAACTTTTAGGTCGGCAATTAGGTCGGCATTGCCAAATACCAGCATTAATTCAGAGGGTTGGATTTTTTATACCAGGTTTTAAATATACTTATTTCTTAACCTTTAAAGTAAGAACATGTCTTTTGAAAGATAGTTGATGTTCAAACAATTACAATACATAAAACTTATCTTTGCCAGGATGTCCTTGAATAAAATTAACTGTTTAAATAAGGACTATGCATGCTGAAGGTCAAGATCATTATATAATTTGCTTTGTATTTTGTTTTCAATAAGTATATTTATATGAGTTACATAATGTGATTATAGTTTATATATGTTTATATTGTGTTGTTTCCATGTTTTAAAAGTGGTGTTATGTGGCAATGTAATGGGCATGATTTTTATCCTTGCAAAAAACATCACAACACCATAACTGGTGTTGTGATGTTTTTTGCCAAAGCTTAGTGCCAATCCATGTTTTAAACACTTTGAAACAAAGACTAAGTATGAATCTCACTAAAATTAATGCCTAAATATTAATATGAGAATTTGTTTAGTTACCTATCTTTCTTCTTTTTTTGTTAAAGTTACATGTTTTAGTTTCTTTAGTAAGTCCATCAACATCATTAATCAAAGAATAAAGATGTTTTTATACTTTAATTAAAAATGCAAACTTACTTTTATTAAATTTTTATTATAACTTTCTTTATGTTTCTTATTAAATGTTGCAATATTAAACAACATCCAATCAAGTTTTATTAAGATTACTATCAGAACATATTTGTTAAAGAATTATTATAATTTTAATAACTACATTATTTTTACATCTAATTTTATTAAATTTTTTTTTATAAATTTAAACATAATATATTTTTTTTTTTTTAGTTACCTTTTTATATTGCTATACTAGTTTGCCTATTAATTTAGTAAACTTATATGATGTTAAATTTACTGTGTTAACAATTAATTTTGTAAACCTATATGATGTTAAACATACTGTGTTAACAATTAATTTAGTAAACTTATATGATGTTAAATTTACTGTGTTAAAAATTAATTTAGTAAGTTTATATGATGTTAAATTTACTGTGTTAACAATTAGTTTAGTAAGCTTATATGATGTTAAATTTACTGTGTTAACAATTAATTTAGTAAACTTATATGATGTTAAATTTACTGTGTTAACAATTAGCCTGCAGTTAAAGAAACTAAAACTCAACATTATTGTGGTAAAAACTGAAACTCTACATGATTGTGGTAAAAAACTAAATCTCAACATGATTGTGGTAAAAACTGAAACTCAACATAATTGTAGTTAAAACTGAAACTCAACATTATTGTGATTAAAACTGTTAAAATTAAAAAACAAGATTTTACATTTGATTATGTTATAGCTATTTTGTAGGTTTATTTTGTTTTTGTTATAGCCATTAACAATAGAAACTTTTTTTTCTTTCTAACGTTTTTAACATAGTGCTTTGAAAAAAAGGTATTAATGGAACTGGAAAAAAAGGTATTAATGGAACTAGAGTTTAGAGGTTTTTTAAAACCGGTTTTTCAAATAAATTTGAAACATTTAAAAACCCGATTTTAAATTATAAAAACCGGTTTTCTATTTTTTAACATTTTTATAGTATATTTTTGTTATGCAATAACATTTTGTTAAGTAAGTTTAGTGAGATGTTTTCTATGTTTTTTTAACATGCAACTTTAAACTTTTTCCTGCAGTAGATGGAGATTTCAATTTCATTTTGTACAAAATGTTACATAATAATTACGCAATAAAAACAGTTGCATGTCTAAAAGCATACGGATGTAAACGCAAATGCAAATCATAGAAAATTCAAATTTACTTGAAGAGCCTGCAGAAAACCTCATTAACCCAAAGACAGTGAAAGCTGAGTTTTTTATTATATGAGGCAACGCATAAATGAACCCAAAAACTTAGATTTTTTATTTAATGCACTTAAAATTATAAAACCCTTTTTAAAATCATATATCCTAAGGAAATATTAAGATAAGTAAAGTAAATATAATATATAAATTAAGTATTTCTCGTTATTCAATTTTAATAATAAGAATTTTAAACCGGTTAAAACCGGTTTTTCAAAAAGTCGGTTTTTGTTCAAACCCTAAATGGAACCCTCTTTTTATCACTAAGTTCTTAGTGATTTTTGATACCATGATTAATAATGATAATAAGAAATATTTTATGAGTTATTAAGTAATTTACAACTTATATAATACTTTTGTAATTTAAGATCTCTTTTTAAAGGATTTAGTTTTTCTAATCTGCTGCTGTTATAACTGATTTTAAAAAGAAAATATTAACTTAAGTTATGTGGTTTTTTTATGTTAACTAAACACTAACAGAAGTAAAAAGTCTCATATTCTACAGATTAAGTTAAATTGTTATTTATTAACTAACAACATGTATGACTGCTGATTAGATATTATTATTAAAAGCTAACATAGCTGCTAAAATATCAGGGCCTCAATAAGGTTATCGCAATTATGATAACATTAAAATTTCATATTTATCAAACTATTTAAAATTTTTTTGATAAATTATTAAATTGAATTTGGAACTTAATTTTTAAATTCACTAACTTTCATTTGCTTGTCTAGCCGTAATCGCTCATTCCACCATTGACTTTTGTTTTTAATATTCATACTTTCCTTACTATTGGATAATATAGAATCGAAGCTCTCGAACAAGTCCTCATCAAATGCTGCAGCTAAATCGCAGATTAAATCTCTCTCAGTTTCTTTCTATAAATCAATTTTAAACAAAATTAAGAAAGAGATTCTTCTGGAATATTTAAATATTTTTGGAAAATAATTAATAAATATTCTTACCTCTTGATTGGATGATGATATATTAATTTTGACGATTGCAGGAGACTTAAACGCAGCTACTCTGCTGATAATCAAAAATGATTGGGCTTTGGATATTGATAAAGAAAGATTAGCAACAATCCAATCTAAATATATTTGAGTTAAAACGAAACCAAAAACAATGATTACAAAAAAATAACATTAAAATAAATAAAATTATAATACCAACCAGCTGGAATATATTCATCAACTAGCGTTTGAAGATTCTCTTCTCTGAACACAAAGTCTGGTGCGCTATACTTCTCTATCAAGGAACATGTAGTGGAATAAGATTGATTTTCATGCTATTGAAATTTATAAACTTTAAAAAAATCAATTTTTCATTTAACAATTCAATGCAATTTATAGCAAATTTTAAAAATGTAAAAGTGATAAAACAATGTAATTTATAATAAATTATTGGAGTATAAATAATTAAGACAGTGTGAAAATAAAAAGTCAAGGTTGACTAATCAACTTGTAGATGTGTAAAAATTTGATTTTAAAATAACACTTTTGTATCACTAAAGAGTTACTTTAAATCAATTTTTTTTTTTTTTTTTTACTTTTGAGATATAATAACTTAACAAAAACTTTTTTGTTTGCAATTTTTAGTACAATATAAAATTTTCCTAAGAAAAAGGAAAAAGTATAACATAAAGCTTAAAAATTACAATAACAAAAGAACAAGCTTAAAATATCAAAATACAGAGACAAAAATTTGATGTTTTTGCCACTATCAACCACTGAAAAAAAATTTGAACTTTGAAAAATATATATTTTTTCAAAATAATATAAATAATAAAAAATATATATTTACAAAAACATATGAATAAAAGCTGATTAGGATGATTCTTAAAAAAACATTTGAAAAACTGTTCACTTGGACCCCCAAAATGTGTTTTATATAAAAAAAATAAAACTGTATTAAAAAATTTTAATTTTAATACAATATAATAAAATATTTTTATAAGTAGCATTCTTATTCTTAAGCAAAAAAACCCTTTTTTTTTTTTTAATTTTTTTATTTATTTGAGTTTTCATGCTATATTTTTGTATACAATTGTTCTTATATCCAAAGATATTGTTGGCTTAGCATAGGAACAGCCACAAATAGTCATTAAGACTAATCCAAAGTAGCGTCCGTTATTGACCAACATTTTTGCGTACCGCAGTACTACTCTAGTGCAGAGTTGGCGGTGGCGGGATTTGTACTCGTATCTTTCAACAGTCCGGGTTTTAACTTTTCCTTTAACGCTCTAACCATCTGAGCTATCCCGCCACTAAATTCTTTCAGTCTTTTTTTCCCTGTAAAAAATTAGTGATTGATAATTTAACTAGTGATTGCTTACAGTCTAGTTAGTAGTGACTTATTATTATTATTGTGACTTATTATTAATATTTTTAAACTTAAACTTAACATCAGACAGGTCTTTAATAGTATGAAAAAATTTCTTTTTTGAAAAGTATGTGGGGTCTTATAAGAGGCAAAATTATATAAAAAATCAAAAATAACAAATTTTCTTATTTTAGGTGAAATTAACAGAAACTAAAAATTTAAAATTAAAGTTTTTTTTTCCAACATCTTCACTTCCAACAAGGCTGCAAGCAACTACAATTAGAGTTGGAAGTTACTGGAAGAGAAAAGATAAATCTTACAGAGAAAGATAACGTTTGACAGATGACTCAAAATAGTGCAAATTATATGAATTAGGAAAACAAGATAAAAGAAGTGAATTCCAAAGAACTGATTATCAAGGAAAAAAACTGGACAAATAAGAATTTTTAGAGCACTTAGGAACAGTAACAGTAAAAGGATGAGACTTAATACAATAATGAGTAACACGAAAACGAATTTTAGTAGATGGTACCAGTAATTTATAAAAATATCAGTAGGTGTAGTAGGTGTAATAAAACCCTTTGTAAACAAAAAGACAAACTCTGTTTTGGATTCCAACCACAGTAGTAACAAACTACTTTTCTGTGCAGCAGCATTGTTTTTCAAGGCTTATGTTTAGAAGCTAAAGAGTTAAGAGAGGTTTGTAAAAACAATTTAAAAAAATAGTATTCTCTTACTGTAGTGGTCTCACAATAACTATAACTGTAGGCTTTTAAAAAATTTATTTTTATTTTAAACTTTATTTTAAAAAAAATACAAAAATATGCACCAAAGGACTAGACTGAGCTGTCAAGTCCAAGTGAAATAAATTAGGAACAGAAAAAGGATAAAAAAATAAAATAAAAAAGTATTATGAACAGATGTTCAGAGCAAAACAAAGATACTAAAGTAAAGTATAAATTAAAAAAATAATAATGATTATATAAACATCGCGCATGTAATAGAAATAATAAACTCAGATTCTAAATGGAAAATCATAACCAACGTGAAAGGTATAAAAAAACAAAGTAAAAATACCAAGTTAAACATAATATGCTCAGAGTGGGAAAATTGAACCTGGAATTCAATGGTTACCGGATCAAAACTTTAACCGATAAAGCTATAGATGTTCACATATAAACAAGATAATAAATGTAATAAAATAATAAAATAAACAATTAAATTAAATAAAAAAAAAATAGCATACATACTAGGGTGGAGTGAAAACAACTTTTTTTAGAAATTCATATTTTCTCCCTGATTTCTATAATAATTATAGGAAAACTAAAGAAATGAGACCAAAATGAGCAGAATTGGACGAGAATTACCCCCAGCACCATTTTTTAGACTATTCTAAACCAAAAATTTTCAAATTTTCTACAATTAATACAGGCGCAAATCCAGCGTTTTTTGGTGTTAAAAATAGCTAACTTCCAGACATGGAGCAAACTTTAAACATTTATATGTTATACGTCGAATAGGGATGCTTTACAAAAAATTACAATGATTGGGGCCCATAAACAAAAATGCCCCTAACAAATTACCCTTTACCCCAAATTTGAGGGCAACTATTTTGCAACATATTTTTTTTACTTTTCTCAACTCAATTATAATTCATTGATAGATTTCAAATTTCATGAAATAATCTCTTAGCATTCAAAAGTTATGGCCATATAAAGTTCAGATCCCCCTCAATTTGAGGGGGTCGCAATATTTATGTTATATATATATATATATATATATATATATATATATATATATATATATATATATATATAACATAAAAATTGATAAAAGTTTTGGGCATTTTTGTTTCCGGGCCCCAATCATTGCATTTTTTTGCAAAGCATTCCTATTTAACGTAAGTATAAATATGAATGTTTAAAGTTTGCTCCATGCCTGGAAGTTGGATTTATATTAATTTATAAACAAGGTTATTTTAGAGAGTTTTAGAATTGAAGAGATGTATATAATACAAGATATTTACATTTATAGAGAAAAAATCATACTAATTAGTGTTATAATTTTAGCCTTGGTATTAAATATTAGTATATTCTTCATAGATTGTAGACGAACATGTATCATACCATCTCTATTTATCTCACCACAAACCGATGCGGAAACTTCTGTCACCATCTTTACACAACGTTCCACTGCTTGGGTGTGGCTCGAAAACTTATCCATAAAGTCAGATAGTAGAATGCGATGCTCTTTTACCTTCTCCAGCTGCTTGTTAGTGAGCTGCATTGTTAATGGTGGCTCCAACAGCTCTAAATTACTCCAATCAATCAACTCCCATGCATTATTTGCCATAAAATTTAGAGTAGGAACTTTGAGCTGATGCACACTTGTTTGGTTAGCTTTCATAACTTTTTCTTTTCTAGCTCTCTGTATACGCCTAACACGTAATTCTTAGATATGTGGCTGATCATCTGATACCATTGCCAGAAGAATATTCTCTTGATGACCAAACAATGCATTTGTTTGAATTACTTTGTATACTATTTTACGTAATGGAGCTGGCAGATATCGTGATTTTGCAATTGTGCTGTACAGATGCCTGCTGCCGTAAAAGATAGAAGACTCTTTCTTGATGATGAATCACATAGGGGCATAAACTCGCATAATGAATGTCGATAAAATTACCAAATTTGACGAGGGACTGCTGGTAGAAACATTCTGAGGATCCTATTGGCAGTGGTGAGCCACCTAGAATGAGCCAGTTTCCTAGGGTTGCGCTTCTCTAGGTTGGTAGAGCAAATACCCACTAATATTGTTTGGCAGATGTCAAAAAAAATAAAGTTGATCTGTACTGACCACTTTTCTCTCAACCTCTGGCATTTCTACATTATGGTTAATAGGTTGAAAATCAACAATCTTTAAGACCTCACAAGTTTCAAGGGACTTTCCAATTAAGCCTGAATAGCATTTCGAACCAAATGTTGGACCATCCAACTCTCCTAACAAATGGCGTAGTGGAAGCTGTTTTCATGTAGCAAACAAATTACTCATTGTAGAGGCCGTTGAAGTTCTAACTGGATCAATCTGATAACACCACCCTTGTTTCCCGTGTTTACATTTGTTCCATCACAGCCCAGCACTTGCAAATTATCCAAAATAATATTGTGCTTTTTAGAATACTGTATAATTGCAAACTTTAGTGATTTAGCTGTTCCGCTAAGAGGAGTGCAGTGTCCCAAGTAACCTCTGCCAGGTTCCTGAATCAAGGATATGTGCTCCTCCGTCACTATGGTTCTCTTATTACTGTCAAATTTGAGTGTTCGGTCTTTTTTGCCATTAAAGTACAACGCCTTTACTTGGATTTCACCAACTTTCTGGTTATCCCTTGTTTTTATGCGCTCAAGCCTGATCTTGCTGCTGTCAATAACTTGTGTTTTGTTATTATATAAAATAATTTCAATATCCTCAAGTACAGCTGATGCCACACCTGCAGTCGATCTGTCTGAGAGTCCATGGCAGTTACAGGCTAATGAGAGAGAAATGAAAGACAATTGCATCTGCTTTGAAGATGAAGAAGTAAATGACTGGATGTTTTCAACAAGGGGTCGCCCATAAAGTACATATGCTTTTTTTTTGCTATCCCCCCTCCCCCCGCAATTTCCCGTATGCTTTTTTGAGTACTCTCTACCTCCCTAAAAATACCTACGCTTTTAACCTACTAACCCAACATTTTATGATATTTTTTCAAATTTAGAGTCACCATACTTTTATAATTGACCTACTGCCCCCTTATCTCAGAAACCCCATTTGCAGACTTCCTCTTCCTCTCCGAGCGTACGTACTTTATGAACGATTCCCAATAGCAGGCTGTTTTGAAGTAATAGGTTTGGTAGAAATGAAAGAATCTAATGACACTGCATAATTAAGGTTTGAGCTCTGCTTACTTTGGATATTGTGCAGTTTTGCTGTAATTTTTTTGTCTATTGAACCTATAGCCATTTTGCGTTCACTCCTTTGATCCTCCATGAAAGGGTGCTCCATAGCTGGTACCATATTAACTTTGCCACAGCAGTATTTCTTTAGATCTTTGCATTGGCAAGCAGATATATCAAACAGTTTTGCTAGTTTTTCCTTGTAGAGCTGAAATTTGTTTTCTTTATTTTTCCTGTTTGTTGGAGTTTTTTGCAGCCCTATATTCTGCTCATAAAGGTTAAAAACTTTCTTTGTCAAAGATGGAATTCATGACACAGTTGGTATGTTACATTTTCCCCAAATTCTTAAGACCTCTATTGCAGTTGAACCTGCTTCATTCTTTTTGTTGGTTTTTCCAGCAGGTTTCTGTAAATTTATAATATATATATATATATATATATATATATATATATATATATATATATATATATATATATATATATATATATATATATATATATATATATATATATATATATATATATATTTGTTTACATCTAATTGTATTATTTGACAAACGATATGACAAACGTATTTTTTATGACGTAGTATTTTTTATGACGTAGTATTTTATTATGACGTAGTATTTGACAAACGATATAATTTAGCTTGCTTACATTTTCTTTTAAATATACCATATGCCGCACAACATCTAGTCCTGTTGGCAGTTGCACATCAGAGAGTGGTTTTGAATACTAAAGAATGGATGATCTTATTTATTGAAATTTAAAACAAAATCCAAAATATATAAATCGTGATAATTATCATTACTGACTAAATGGTCAAGTATTATAGATATTATAATAAATATTATTATTTATTAATTAAATACTAATCTTTAAAAATATGGTTCGAGGAAAGTAGTAGAGCGTGGATTTTATTATATGCTAAATATTAACTTTTTTATTTCAAAAAATATCTTTCAAATGAGTTAAAAGTATTAGATTAACCTTTTCAATGCAAAAGTGAGTATTTTGGTCATAATACTAATGGATAATACAATCATGCCCAATGTTATAACTTCAAAGCTTCTTCAAAAAAAATATCTAAAAAAATTTTAAGTTTGCGCTTTCAATAATAAGTAATATTGGTCAAAAATTGGTACCGGAGGTAGTTCTTGTCCAATTTTGTTCATCTTGGTCTCATTTTTTTAATTTTCCTATAATTATTATAGAAATCAAGAAGAAAATATGAATTTTTTAAAAAAAAGTTGTTTTCACTCCACCCTAATACATACATACATACATACATACATACATACATACATACATACATACATACATACATACATACATACATACATACATACATACATACATACATACATACATACACACATACATATATACATATACACATATAAACACATAGATATACATGTATACACATATAAAAAAACCAAAAAGGGAAAGCAGAAAGATAATAAAAATAATGGTGTTGTAAGATCCAATCGAAATTAAGTAGTGGACTAATGTAGGTGAAACTCCATCCTCAGGGCCACAATATATTCACCAGTGATATTTCGGAGAGCCTGATAAAAAGGGCTAACATTACTCATCAGGGATGCATCCTTGCTGTCTCATCGCCTGTAGTCTACATCCTATAAGTCATTATTTCAATAAAACAGACCTCACTACAGAAAAGCCAATCATCCATACCCCTACCAAATTTAGGCAACACCTATAATTTTTAGAAAAAATGGGGATGTAGAGACAAAAATGCACAAAAAGTATATATCATAAATATACTAACGATAAACAGTAATATTAAGTGTTTTGGAAAATATAATTAGTTAAAACCTAGTGAGAAGAAAAAAAGTTTTAACAAACTTTCAGGCATGATATCCACATGGTCGGACTTGGTGGTTTGATCTCCAATGCTAAATATATTTTTAGACAATATATTTTATTATCAGCATAACAATAAAACGATTTACCAAACTTTTTTCAAAACTTTTATTAACAATAGGATTACCCTGGATGATTAGTCCCATATATATATATATATATATATATATATATATATATATATATATATATATATATATATATATATATATATATATACTTTAAAAATATACAGGTAGTTAAAAGCTTAATAAAAAAGGACATTGCCTCGAAAACAGCTCAAAAAACTAGACAACAAGAAAAAATCTAAAAATCAGGAAAACAGGTTTTGTTTATATTGGAGGTTTTGTATATATTGGATGACATGAAAAAATCTGAAAAACAGGAAAACGGGTTTTGTATAAATATAATTACCAGGGCCCCTGTCAACAATATAGAATAGAGAAACAGCAAAAAATCAAGGATTAAACCTTTTTGTATCCCAGTTGTTACTGGAAAGAAAATGTGTTGAATATCTTCTATATCTGCAGTTAAATTTTTTAAAATAACTTTCTTAAACTTTAAAACAGATTATATGAAATCACATATAATAATAATTTCAATTAAGAATAATCAAAACTAATTTAACCCAAATGCTTTTAACTCCTCAAAACAAGTTTATGAAGATCACATGATGATCAATTAACATGAAGATCAATTAACATAAAGATCACATGATGATCAGTTTGTGATGTGTTTTTAGAAATTTGTATAACACCTTTTATTATCATTTTTTTAAATTTGCATCAAATATTTAAAGCTAAACTTTTGACAGTCAATATATGCCGTTATCACAGGGCAATTTTTATCCAACTTATTGTTCATATTTAATCACTGATGTGCATCAAAAAATCAATTTGAGCAATGACTGTCATAGATTAAATCAAACAGAAGAACTAAGCGCAAAAATTAAAGAAAAAAAAATGTTTGTGATTCGAAAATAAAAAACCTTAAGTTATTAAAAGATACAAAAATAAAAATTTTTAAGTTTTATTAATTTATGTTGTATGGATTGTTTATACTGTTGTGTATTTTTGTGTATTGTTTATAATGTCGTGTTTTTTTGTGTATTTTATATTGTTTATACTGTTGTATAATTTTGTGCATCATTTATATTGACATGTACGCTTGTGTATTGTTTATGTTGACGTGCATTTTTTTTGTGGTCTTGTTGCTAATTCATTATTTTTTTAATCTTTCTGATTGTCAAACGTTGTGATATCTCATTCATTTGTTATCTATCATGTCAGCAATTTACTTTTGCCCTTTTTTGTGTTATTTGTCTTGCTCTTTTAAAGATATTTTGTCTTCTTTTTATTTAACTTTAATTTCGTTTTTGTCGCTATCTATATTACTTTTTTTTGCTTTATTTATTTTATTAAGGTGTCATTCCAATGACTAGTTTTTAACTATATGAGTGACATTTGGTAATTATTTCAACATGATCACTTTGTAATTATTTCAACTTTATGGATAAATAAATGGGTTATAAAAAAAAAAAATTGCAATTTTTTTCAAAATGGTTGTTAATTATTGAACAACTGTGACTTAAAAGAATTTCATGCAAAAATTTTATATAAATTAAAAAAAATTAACCTACCTTTTTATTAACTCTTTTTCTCCTAGAATATGTAATTATTATATTTAGTATAATATGCAATAACAATTTTAAAAGAATATTCAAAGAAAATGCAAAATAATTCATAAAAAATTAAAAAAATTTTTTTTAGTTTTTCTCACCTTCTGTCTTTAGTTGAAATACAGTTTAGTACCTGCTGGTGCAATGTACGAGATTGGTGAAGTAATTCACATTCTAAAGTTAGCTTTTTTGCTTGCATTCCTGAAATAATAGATATAAGTTGATAGATTGATTTAATTAGTAAGGTGTCTGTGTAAGGATTTAATATTTGAAGTGATTTCTCCATATCATTCAGAAATAAACTTATATCAAAGCTCTTAATTGCTGGTAAATTGTTTTCATGTTTCATTTTTTTATCAGATATGCATTTTCTAGAGGAGCGCAATTTGCGAGTAAGTTTTTTCTCCGCAACCTCATCTTCACAGACAGTATTTAGAGAAGCATCAGTTTTGTAATCAATATTTTTTTGTGACGCCCTTGTTTTAGTTTTGCTTAGAGTCTGTTTAGAAATACATTCTATCTCACCATTACAGTATTGAGACGAATATACTTTATTATTTATTTTAGCTGGAATTTTCCATGTACTAGAAATCAAACTTTCATTAATTAACAATAGGTTTCTCAAACAATACAACTGAGCAATAATTCTGCAATATTCATGCTGAATTTTTTCTAATGAACAGCTTTGTACTTGCTTTATCAACTTTTCAACGGTGTCAGCAAGATTACTTTTAACTTCTACAATTGGCTGGATTATTTTAGCTTCTGCAAAATACTTCGAAAAAAGTTCTGTGCTGTTACTTTTTAGTTTGTTTTGTTTTGTTTTATTAGTAATAGAAAGATTAATTGAATATGACATTATATCTTTAATGCTTGCGAGTTTATTACTAAAACGGAAACATGCATTATTGATGACTTGCTCAATGATTTTTGAAAACTCACAATGAGTATCACTTTTTTCCCATTGTTTTTGACTCTCCATGTACTGCAAAAATAATCGAATACATATCTCTTGCAGCATGGGGTATGCACAATTAGCGCAGGAACAGTCAACATCGTGGTTCACAAAATCTGGAAGATAGAGATCCAATCCATTAAAGCAATCTTGTATTGAAGATTTAAAAAATGTTTTTATGGTGTTGAAGTTTTTTTCAAAAGAAACCTTATTTTGAAGAATTAAATCCAGTGAAGCTTTTT